AACGGCGTGCAGCTGTGATGGGTTGTGTACAAGCTAGGGTGTCAGAATGGTATGTATTTATACTTCTCTTCCAACCACAATTAAATTCACTCTATCCAGGAGACACAATTTATCAGGATAGTATTTTTTTAAGTAACAACTCGGAATAAAACAGGAGTTACGACTTTCTGCTTCTTACCTTTTTAAAAAAATGTAGTGAGCAGAAAGTACAGATAATTGTGTAAAAATGTAATGAGTAAAAGTAAAAAGTACACTGAAAAATAATTACTCACGTAAAGTACAGATACCCCAAAATTCTACTTAAGTACAGCAACAAAGTATTTGTACTTAGTTACTTTACAACTCTGGTTATGCGACTGGTAAATACCTGACACCAGAGATCACTCCTCCCTACGCTAAGGAGTAGAAAAGAGGGAGACACAAAGAAAACAAACAAGCAGGCAAATCAAAATGATCAACCTCGTTTTAATTTATTGACCTTATTTTAATGTGATTAAATGATTTCTTGCTTAATGAGGCCTAACAGAGACAGAATACATCTCCGTGTTCAACAGAGGTCACTTCAGGCACAACGTCAGCGAAAACCTGAAGCGTTTTTTTCCAAATGTTTCGACAAATGTGCCACGACATCAAACTGTAGACGACCACATGCAGTGCATCGCCCACTTTTTACACTCAGGTGTTGTGGGTATGTCTCAGTGCTCTTACCCAGCATGCGAACCCATATGACATTCTGCTCCGACCATTTAAATGTGACCGCTTCACATCTCTGTGGAAAGAAAGAAGGAAAAAAAAGTGTTTAACGGCCAAGAACAGCTTTCGCAGAACATCAGTGACCCTTGCTAACAAATAGATTCTGTGCTAAAAGTCAATATGTGAGGCCACAAACCGTTTTTACACTCACTGCAAAAAACAGTGGGACGCCTGCAAAGCTTTTCCCACAAGCCCCCCCGAGATCTCGACGTGTTTTATTTCATCTTCGGTCTTATTTCAGGGTTCAATTTTCAGCATTTTAATGCAATTTGTTATTTGGAATAATAAAGGATTCCGTTAGTTTCTAAATCATAATCCAAATAAATGTGTTTAATCTGAAAAAAAAAAAAAAATCTGCCTTAAAAATCGAGCAAGAACTGAGTAGGTGCATTGAGTGACACTGGCATCTGCTCTTCCGGCAGCAACATGTCCGTGTTTTGGCCCGTGCCGAAGAAAAACTGGGTCAAGGCAGCCCAGCGCCAAAACCCTGCCGGCGATTTGCACATTAATCACAAGCGTTCGCATAGTTCACCCTCACGGGCAGAGGTCTGGGCTTTAACCGTTCTCTATCAAAGGTGCATTTGTATCGTTTGTCGAATCACAAGACGTTTTTGTGCTAAAATTTGAGACCGGAAAAACTATACTAAAAAGCCCCCCCGAGTATAAATACTCACAGCAATCTTACACACAATCTCTTTGCTTGGAGGTTTTTGTTGTTTTTCTTATGATCGTTCCACATTTATCAAACTGGATCTCCTTCCTGATGCCCCCAGGACTACTCTGCTTGTTACATTTCATAACTGAGCTCAGCTTTAGATAATAGCTAATAATGGCTATAATAGTTGTAATGGCTCAACGTGTGTCTGCCTAGTGAGCAGTGTTGTTGTAGGACGGACCCACACGTTGACATTTAGTCTGAGAGCAGATAAACCCTCTGACCCGTTCAAACCCTCAACAAATCATCTGTTATCTGTCAGCGTTCGTTCTTCCTCCTCCAGAGGAAGAGACGTGTACTCTGAGGAGGAGGGTTTGCATTTGATTTAGATCACATTGTTTACCGGCAGGCAGGAAATGGGTGGATGGAGGCAAACCCAGAGGCAATGGCTGCTCCCTCCTCCAGCCCATATCGTTGTGGCATGTTTACAGGACAAACTTTTGCCCCCCCTCAGTATTTCTGATCACATTCAGCTCATCCTAGCAGGTTTCAAGTTAGGGCTTAGGAAAATCAATGTAGAAAGATTGGAAATTAACTTTGTCAACAAAAGTTTTTAGAATCGGTGGTGCCAATAGAAATGTTTTAATAGGATGGCTGTGGGGGGCCACTAAAAATTCTGAGTTGGGACATCAAAACCAAAAGCTAGAACAGAATTTTAGGAGATTTGCTTTTGTTTCATAATATAAAAAAGTTATTTAACTAACATAGCAAAACATGAGTTAGAGAAACAACTATACACTAGGGCTGCCACAAACGATTATTTTTAATAATCGATTAATCACCGATTATTTTTTCGATTAGTCGACTAATCGGATCATACGTTAATTGAATATAAAACTTACAGCTTATCGCGCCAGAATGCAGCTGCTATTATATAACCATSGTTAGATTTTAGCTATATGCTAACTAAAAATAATTGCTATGGAAGGTAAGTTCTGCTCTGCAGATATTGCACAGGTTTCTCTTCATTTTCTTAAAATGATCCCACACTTTGAGCTCCGTTGTCAGGTAGCCATGATACCAGAGCCTGTCTGTATAATGTCTTGTGACGTCCACGGCCTACCCCAGTTACCACTACTGTGCATGTGTGTCAAGGACAGAAAGGCAGATGTGGCAGTGGAAGGTGTCAAAGCAGTTTGGAGAGAAAAACAAAGTATAGAACAAAAAAACGACGATTAATCGATTATTAAATTAGTCATCGATTATTTTAATAATCGATTAGTCGTCGACTAATCGACTAATCGTGGCAGCCCTATAGGTCTACTTTGTTTCTATTACCGAGAAAAGCAGTCACTATTTAACTTATCGAATCTTGTCCTGTCCTTAGTTTATATTTATAAAACCATTTTATGCATATAACTGAGACCCTGAGCTTAAAGCTGGGGACATTGGTTTTAGACAAACTGTAGATTTTAAATTTTTAGGTTTAATTTGAATGAAAACGTAAATTTGTATTTTTAACTTCTTGCTCTAAAACAACGTTTGTGTTTATATTTGCATCTCTACTTATTCTAAATATTTGGTGGAAATTAAAAAACGTGCACAAAACAAGTTATTTTTGTGAGAGTGAGCATTGCCCCCACTAGCCCCCCTCTTGGGTGACACCCCTGATTATTAAAAAGGCTAAAAAGCCCTGTTAATAAGGCTGCTTTTTAAACAAGTCTCTAATGTGTTTACAAATATATACAATCTCATTCTTACTGCATCACCTGTGACATATATTGAGTCAAACGCAAAAAGCAAAACCTGAACTACTTTCAGTCAACATCTCCGCCCTGCTGAGTGTTTTTCTGCAGCGTCCAGGCTGCAGGTGGACTGCTGTAAATCTGTCAATAACACCGACGTGACCCGTGGCAATAATAAACCAGGCCTAACAGAAAACAAAATATTCTCACAAAGAAGTCATTGTGAACTTATTATATTCTGAACATGTTTGCATATTATCCGCAGTTACAAAGGAGATGCAAGCAGATAAACAACGATACGCTCAGAAATAAAGTCCTATTTTAGCTCTAACAACTCTTCACGCATCGTTAGTTCAACATGTTTAGGTCTCTGAGTCTATCGAAAAACATTTAAGAGTATATTAGAGGCTCGCAGCCGACCCAGCTGTTAATTCAGTCCACATACCTCGACCATTAAACAGGACATTTAACCATCGCTGCTGCTCGCAGATAGAACAGGTGATGGAATCTGCCGCGTGCGGCGTGTTTTCATGTCAGGACGAGACAAACGCAGGAGTTCACCGCATGCGGCAGGACGAAGAGGTGACTGTCACTCTGGCTGACACCTGTTTTAAAACAGTTTCATCCTCCTCCTCCCGCGTCTCGTGCGGGTAAAAAGTAGGCTGTTTTGATAAAGGTTACAGGCTGGTCTTCCACACCCTCGCTGCGCCAGTCCGCGTGCTCTCTGTGTGTATTTGAGGAGCCGCACCGCAGAGAGCGGAGAGGGGAGGGGCCGGTTGTAGCATCAAAGGGGCGGGACTTTATCTGGAGTGAACCAATCAGGGAGCGGTATTGTCACTCATTTTAATATTATTGGTTGTTTGAGATTTAGGAAAACATCATGGTTTGTATTGAGATTACTACTGTGATCATGTAGCCTACTTGTAGTGTGAAGGCTAGGTAATTTTAAGAATATTTCTCTATTGTTGTTTGACATTTTATAACAAGATAAATATTTAAATTTAGTAAGAAACAATACTTCAGCCAGTTTGATCACAAAATATGTAAACAAAAAGATATTACTGCTTAAAATAAAGTGTGTTCTTATGTTAAATCCTATTTTTAAACCCATAGTTTCATTCTGACCTCCTGCTTTGTGGGTGTGTTCTTTCACAGCATCATAATACTGGTCACTCTGTCACTGGTACTCTGGATGGGTTTTGTCCACCATGTGGAGACAATGCTGGCTGAGTTCACCTGAAACCCCTCAGACTGAAGAAGAGTCTCATGAAGACGAGATGTTTCATTAAAGGAGAACCCATCCTGAGGACCTACTTAATAATTTGTTTATTTTTTTTCTACCTGGATTACTGAGATGCTCAGACTACTGGTCACTGGTGGTGCTGAAGGTGAAAGTATAACTAATGTGGCAAAACAGTCAAAAAAGTATAAATGCATCAGGATTTCTTTGATTCCTGATAAAGCTTTACCCATATGCTGGACAGATACTCAGAACAAAATATTAAAATATGTTCCAGGTTTTTTTTTCTGTAACTTGAGTAGTACTGGGAGCACAAATACTAGTACTTTGGCTCCCTCTAGTGGTAGGGTACGGAACAATTTGTCGTGAACTAAACCCAGATTGTGATCATACAAAACAGCTATTTTGACGTGTTAGTTGTCACCATTGCATATAAGTTTCTAAATTAACATCTAAATCTTCTAACCAGTTTTGTGTTTAAACTTTGTCACAGCTCTCCTCATTTGACGTAAAACAGCCTCGAGGGGGAAAATTGCACAAAAACAACATAATGAAGTCTGATTTTCCTTTCCTCTGCATATATCTGAACAAATACAGAATAGCCAAATATGGCACTTGAATTTTAATGAAATAAAAACAACTTCTACAATTGCATAGAATCAAGTCACAAATCTCAGATCTTACCATCATATCTTCCACCTGGCTGAGTTCAAACGTAAAACCTCATAGATCGATTTTAAAAATATTAAAAGCAGGCAGAAACAGTGTAAAAACAATCACATTTCTCCCCTTAAAAGCTGGTCTGCACAAACATAACTTTAAACAATAATACTCCCATGAACAAGACAAAACCGTGTTACAGTACCTGCTTAAACAAGGTCACATTCACACAATTCCAACAAACAGATAAACAGAAACAAGGACTCTGACAAACAAGTACAATAACCAAAACAACTTAAAAGCAAAAATAAAATGTAAACCAGTAGTTGCTGCAGAGGTTTGTTAAAAGGCAATAACTGTTGAAGTTGCTGGTCATTTGTGACTTAATCAAGCTGCCGTTTTCCACAGGTTAAAAATGTCGGCGCCCCAGACTGCGTCTCTTGTGGAGAGAAACCTGGAAGAGAAGAATCCGGTTTGTATTTCTGCAGACCGATGAAAACGACGTTCATGTGGTGCTGCTGGAGACCAACCTGAGGTGTTTCTGGACTTCCGAACGGAGAGAGTTCAGCGGAATTCTCCTTGTCTGAGGAGTTGTTGTGACGATTCTGGGCGAACTTTCTCTTTAATGCTTCAGCAATGAGAGCCGCCGGGTCGCTGAGCAGCGCCGCGCCTCCCTTGCTGCGTCTCCGTACGACTGTGCCTCCAGGTGATCTGCGCACCAACAAAAACATAAAAAAACAATTCTTAAATGGAAAAGTATTAAAATAAAGAACATCTTACCGTTTTAAATTCCTACCTTTGTACTGAGCGCAGTTTCACTTGATTTAATTCCTTCAGAACGTCCAGCATTGAAGGAATCTGTTTATTGTTTGCTGCTCTGTTCAGCTGTGACTGCTGAGGCTGCAGCTGATCTGAACCAGTTTCCTTGTTCTGACGTTGCCTGATCAGCTCTAACACAGACGAGTTCTCGGTGGAGGAGTTTGTGCAGGGAGGAGGAGGAGGAGGGGGAGGGGGAGGAGCACAGCGAGGCGTGGAGGTGAGAGTCGGAACTGGCGGATGAGACATCAAAGGGGAACCTGGAGGATTCTGGGACTCCGTCAGACCTAAAACACAATAAAAAGGTTCAACGTTTAGACCCCTTCTTTTACCTCTCAGGGCAACAGGTTTGTTTTGTTAAAAACAGTCGTACCTGAGGACGGAGCAGCAGTAACGATCATGGCGATCTGAGCTCGGAGTTTGAGCAGTTCGCTCTCCAGCTCCGAGATCCTTTTCAGAGCTTCAGGATTCATTTTTTGTCTCACGGCGGTTCCTCCTCTCTGAGCCTGACTCTGCGTCGGTCGCGGGTATCTGATCAGATCTTGTGTCTTCTTTGGAGGCAAATGGTTCCTGTTGAGCCAACACAGCAATCATACAGTTACATACAAAAAAAAAGCTTTATTCACAGATGTCAGGAATTTTCTCTATTTTTTTATTCATTTTATTTAGGTTATCAATGTAAACAACAGGAACACAATGGGCCTCATGCAGGAACCGTTCGTACGCACAGATTTGTTCTTAAATTGTGCGTACGAGTGATTTAGGAGAATTTGTGGCATTCACCAATGTTTTCGTATTCTAAGATTTTTTTCAGATACGAACAAAATTCACGAGTGGTCCAGACCTGTCGTATATTTTATGAGCAGTCAGTCTGCTGTTATCCAGACAGATTTTCCTCCATAATAACTTTATATTTCGTTATTTAGAAAATATTTCAAGGTGAAAATAAATCACACTCCATTCTTATGTTGACAGTAGGTTATTCTGTTTGAAATGGAATTAGATTTTAACGATATAAATTGATTAGATTAAGTTAAATTGTCTTTTAATGCTGTTGTATAACAACTACAATATTAATATGAAGATCTCAAACTAAAAAAACAACTTAAATTATGCATTAATTGAAGTTTGGAGACGTTTTAAAATGCTAAAATGCGTCTTTTCAGAACCGCACCTGTCACTTGGGGGAGATGGCCAGGGTGCGCAACCACCCTTCTTCTGAATAAATGTAAACACAGTAACACAGGTGTTTACACTTAAATTAAAAATATTTGACCAAAGAAAAACCGGAGCAGGACTAGAGAGAGATGAATATGATTTATATTTTTATTTCTGTGTCTGTAACGACCCAGGAGACACGACATTAACAGCACATTTCATTCCTTCAAGCAGCTCCTTTATTTCCACATGACTCTGCTAAAGAGAGCAGATTTTCTTTTCTCGATCTCGGAGAGCAGGACTTCAATCTCTGAACTCGTAAAGTTCTTCTTTTTTACTTTGCGATGTCATTTATGAATGGACACTTCCTGGTATGTGGGGCAGGAAACTTAGCCTTATATGGTGTTTTTGGGGTGGTAGTTATGTAAATAACCTCTCCTCGTGCACGAGCAGCTGGATACGAACAGGTGGAATTTACGCAGCTCATTTACACCCTTTTCCTGAAGATAGAAGAGTTTGTTGAATCTGACGTGACATGTTCGTACGAACCCTTCGTACGAACAAAAGTAAGAGAAATTTAGGATAAGAATACGAACATGTTCTTGCATGAGGCCCATTAACACAATGATCGCAAACAGAAATATCAGTCGTAGCTGTGATTTGATATTTAAAAAAAAACTTGTACAAAGTTTATTTTTTAAATTAAATATTAGGACTTCTAAAGACGTTTTGCTGATGTGAAGCAAAATTCTCTAAAGGAATAGAAAAAACATCAAAATAACTGGGTTTTGATTTCATTGTGCCACCCTAATCAGTCTGGATTATCACTCTGACTTACAGGTAATAACACAAATAAAAGATCAATTTAAACTTAATTTAAAAAAGGTAATTCTCCTGCTACATATGCTGACTGCTTAATATATTGTCATTTAGGTGTAAACCTTACCTAAAAATCCACAACATCAGTTTTTCATGAATCACCACCGATTTATCTTTTTAAAGGAGTTCCTTAACTTAAAAAAAAAAAAACATTTTGTTGGTATTTTCTCTGTACTGATTTGTGATTTTACCTGGTCCGGGCAAAACTCTCCCCCTGGTCGTGAAACACCCACTGAACGTCAGCGAACGAGGGGACTGCTGGTGTCCCGTCTGAGACGTCAACCTGTCCATGTTGCCCATGAGTAACCAGAGGGATCTGAGGGCAAAAGACATGAACACAAAAATTAGAAACTGAAATACAGACATAATATATATATATTTTTTACATTATCCACTGATTATGTTACCTAACTTAACACATGACTGATTTAATACAAGCTCAACTGGAAAAAATGTTGCATTTCTACTTCGTGGATGTGCACAAAATCTATTGGCAAATGGGCTTGGGGTTGTGAATACTGTTGATTTCTAGATATTATTAATAGGGCTGTGTATTGGCAAGAATTTGGCGATACAATACATATCATAACAGAGGGGTCACGATACGATATATCCCGATATATTGCGATACTGTAAGCAAGGCAATATATTGTGATATACTGCGATTTTTTTGTCCAAATATTCTATTAAATAAAAACCTCTTACTGAAAAAAAAAGAAAAGAAAAGCTAATGTTTACTTACAATGCTAATGCTACCCTTACACTCTGGCGCTCAAGGGGTAGAGGAGCCAAATGGCTGGCTCACTGCTGCCAACTAGTGGTCAGAGGCTGAACTACAACATTAAAATGAACGGCTGGCAGGAAAGTTGACATTTTAAACCTTAATAAAAAAATCGATACAGGGCTTTAGAATATCGATACAGTATCGGGAAATGAAATATCGCGATATTTCAGTGTATCGATATTTTCTTACACCCCTAATTATTAACACCCTACTAATACTAATAATGAAGATATTACACTTTGTGTATGAAATATTATAGATAAGGGGTAGGATTAAACAAGTTTATACTTCTTCCTTTTTGAACATACAAAACACTGCATGTTCTTAGGTTAGTCATGTTAAAAGTTTTCTTCATTGTCAACATAACACTTCTTGCTTTTATATACAAAAAAAAGGCATCCACAAATGTGTGACAGTACCTGAAAGTGAACACGTGGAGTTGGTGTCAGTGGGAGACTGGACCCGATCATCCGCACGACGCTGCGATACGAACCGCAAAGAGGACTGTCCCACACGGGCACCAGCTACAGGCAAAATGAAACGTACAAAACAACATTATATAACCCTTTTTCACTTTGGTCACTGTTAAAGAGCGAAGGAATACATTTTTTTGGCATTCATAAAACAGCCATAAAACACTTTTCCATTGCAGATTTAGGCCTGTCACGATAACAAATTTAGCTGGGCGATTAATTGTCTCACAAATTATTGCGATAAACGATAATATTGCCTGGTGACCGTTTTACAACTAATAATTATAAAAGCGTAATATGTAAGTGTAATAAATCAATAAACTTTAATTTTTAAAGAATGTTTAACAAAGTGGACTCTCAGTTCTCTAACAAAAAATGCACTTGAATAAAAAAAAAATAAAACAAAGAACAACAAAATGTAAATTAAACACCACACACAACTAGGACAGTAAATAAACAATATTAAAGAGCAGCATCTCTTTAGAGATGAAGCAAACTACACAGCCTGGTGAGGACCCACTGTTTCTTATGGGGACATAAGCCCAGTTCACATCCCATGTAAAGTGTAGGCTAGGTTTAGGGTCAAATGGTAATAGAAAATACTGGTAAATGAATGAAAGTCAATGCAAAGTCCCCATGAGGATAGAAGAACGAACGTGTCTATGTGTGTGTGTGTGAGGAGGGGACAGTCAGAGCGCTGCGGGGAGGAAATCAGACAGTTCAGAGTTTTCCTCATGAGTTGTTGGGACAGCTACAGGTTTTTTGGGTGTTCTGTTAAAACACAGATGGTGCGTTTAAGTTTCCTGTTATTTTTGGGAGCTACAGGTAAAGTGTTGACGAGTTTGTCGCGGGTCTGGGGGAGTTTCAGCCCCCACCCCTTTCCCCCTCTCTCTGTGTCTCCCTGCAGCGAAATTCAGGCTGTAGTGCTCCAACACTGCAGCAGCTGCGTTCTGCTTTGAAACGTTTCTTTAGTTTGTTATTGCTACGAGCTCTCACGCTAACGCGAGAGTTCACTCCTTCCGACACTAAGAAAACAGGAGGGGAGGAGTCAGCTGAGCTCCTCTGCAGAGGAGCACAGAGAGGGAGACGAAGTAAACAAACAAGCAGGAAAAGGAAACTTATCGTCCTCATTTTTTTTTACCGACCTCAAAATAACTTATTGTGCAATTAATTGATTTATTGACTATCGCGACAGGCCTATGCAGATTAAAGAAATAATTTGCTCTCCGTAACAGACGTGCGCTTCAGTGCAGTTACCATGTCTGGATGCACACCAAAATATTCCAGCACTATGCGCAGCACATCCAGAACATCCTCTGCTAAAGACATCTCACGGACTTCTTCTCTTCACGAGCTGACGACTGTAAAGCTTCTCTTCCTGCTGACTGACTTGATGAGAGGCCAAAACATGCAGAAGTCACATACTTTACACCTGAAGCAATAAAAAAAATAACACTTGGTTACAATGATGTTAAAATCCAGAACAGAGATGATTGTTTTTATTACTGACAGTGATGAATACATGTTACAAAACTCTTGAGTATTCATTAAAGTATGTTTTATAGTTAACTTCTGTGATAGTGTCTAAATATGCATGTTTTCTTTTACTTTTATAGCATTACTTTATTTTTCTTGTGACTGACATAAACCCTCTTTTGCAGAAATAATTTACCAACTAACTCCAAGTGTCTGCTCCTGCATACTAATTGTTTATTCTATAATATATTAATTACTAACAATAATACTTCATTATTGAATAAAACTGCAAAACCCCTAAGAGTCAGTTTATGATGAAGACATCAGTATTATTATCACCTGGTGGTGGCTGAATATACAGAGACCTGGGAGTGACTTAAACATGTTTCTCCGTCCAGGTTATTGATTTTGGTTATAAAAATCCTCTATATTTTTCAGGCGTGAGAGTCAAAAGTGAACTTTTAGTTAAAACAACAACAACAACCTTGTTTGAGCAATGCGGATACCGCAGCGAGAAGCTGCAGGGATCATCAAAACTAACCTCACGCGACAGTCAAAATTAATAATTAAAAAAATAACACGCACTTACCGTCGTCTACTCTTAAAGTAGATGTGTATCATCAACTACGCGTTTTCCAATTTCTTTGTCAGGAAATGAAAAACGGACGTTCAGCGATGTGTAAGGTTTTTTTTTTTTTTTTTAGTTAGCCTCTTTCCGCGTGCGCTCGCGCTGCAGATCCGTAAAGTCAAATAAAGCTGCAGCAGCAAAACCTTTTCTGATTGGCTGCGGAAACAGAAGGTAGAATGAACAGCCAATGACAGACGCTAATATGAAAGTGATGTCAGCGGCTAGACGACCAATGACGTGACAGAAGGAAAAAAAGCACCAAATTTGTATTTTTGTGCACGAGGAGCTACTTCTCGGTAAGAAAATATGTCACGATTATTGAATGTGGTTTCCTCTATTTCACTGAAAGGGATTTAAATCGGTATTGTTAAAGTATTTTTGTTTGTAGTATAAACAATGCAGCTGGATATTACATCAAAACGTGAAACCGTGTCGCTTCTGAACGCGTCGTAGGATGTTAGCTTTGTTAGCTAGCAGCTATCCTCAACGCAAACAGGTTGACAGGCCAATCCTTTATTAACAGTATTTGTTGTTGATTTGAGTGCTGAACATTTATAATTAATTGCAACGCCGTCTTACTTTGTGCCTTCTTCACATTTAAGTGTTCCAATATTTGGTCCATCGGTGTGGAAACATACATCTTTCAGTTTCAGGTCCATTTCCGAGGATGATGGATGCTCTGTCGGTGGTGTGTCAGCTGCGGGATTTGGCCTCTGAGCCGCAGAACCGACAGGTGATCGTCCAGGACCAGGGCTGTCTCCCCGGGCTGGTTCTTTTCCTGGACCACAAGGATCCAGAAGTACTATTTGCAACTCTGCAGGTACAGTCATGGCGCAATATGTTGCAAAAGCAGTTTGATTTAGAACATAATAGATCTTGTTTGCTCTGTTTTCCTGAATAACAAACGAGAACCTTTCTCCTTTTGTCCTGCCTTCAGACCCTGCGTTATTTGGCTGAGTTGCCTCCCAACATCCCCACTATGAAGAATGAACTGGGTATGATGGTGAGCTTGGAGAATCTATTTCAAAGGTTAGAATATTTGCTGTGGTTGCTTTAAAAATTGCAGTTCTGTGTAACAGTTTTAAGTCACCCCTTTCCTCTATTTTACTTTTTAAGAAAACGATTGTTAGGGATGTGGATAAATTTTTAATCCTACACAAATATTAAATCTGACAGCGGATTCCAAAAAAACATTTCAAACCATACAAAATAACACAAAATCATGTGATTATCTGAAGTATGAGGGGCGTTATTGATGTTTGTTTAGTTGAAATCAGCTCATGTTTTCTTGCTGCAGTTCACAGCAGAACCAATGTGACCATTTCACCTGCTGTTTTCTAATTTTTCCCGTAACTTGCTCAGTGTTCAAGATATCGCCATGAAATTTTAGGAAAAGATTCCCATTCTGGTTTTGTAGGAAGCGTCTTGTATCCTAAAAAACTAATAAAACTTAATAATAGCCAATTCAAAAGTAGCAGAAAAGGTATAAAATAACATTACAAGGCAAACTGTAGCATCAAATCAACTTAATGTTTCTTAGAAAGTAAGGAAATTAAAACAATTTAAAAACCATCTGTTTTTGTAAACAAAGCCAGCGTGTTAAATGTGTCAGGTGACGAAGACGAGCGTCGTCAAAACACTTTGCAACAAGCGCTGTTCCGGATAAAAAAAAACACAGTTCGAAGTTTCAAATCATTATCAAATTTGGAAGAAGGGCAGATAAAATAATGTTCTTCATGGCAGCTTATCTCTTTAAGGGGTCACTAGAAAAACTCGGGTGATTTACTTTGATCGTCTTTTCAAAAAACTGTCCCTTCAAAACACATCAACAAAAAGTAAAAACTTGAAGACGAGGCTGTAGCTAACTACCTGACGGCAGCCTGATTTGTTGAAATTCTTAGAAATAATGAAACAGGAGGAAATTACAAGCAAACACACCGAGCAGCCTTGCAAAATCTGGTCACAGCAGTTTGGGAAGAAAATGGCAGCAGCTGCTGACGACATGTCAACATCCCTACAATTGTAATTTTTGTAAGTGCTTATTTGATTTTACTCCCCCAGACGTTAGGTATTTTAAAGTATTTTTCTGTGGATTTTGCCTGCTTATTCATTCGTTTTCAGTCTGTTTTTAAACAAAAGTTTTTCTTTTAACAATTATGAATGAAACATTGAATATTGTGTTGACTCGCGCTGTTTTAAAGATATATTAACATGCATATTGTGGTTAAAGAAAATGCTAAATGTCTCCATGCAGAGGGGGCTTGTCTGATGACATCACAGCCTTGGCTAAAGAGGTTTACGGCATTCTGATTTCACCCAATAATCCTGCACCCCGCACACCAGCGAGTCAGAGAAGAAAGAAGTCTCAGTTCTTCATCAATTCCTCCAACAAGAAGGCCAAGTCTGTCACGTTGCACATCCAGGGGCTGGACAGCATTGTAAGCCAGCTGACACGTAAGCTCAATACATAAAAGCTATTCAGATAATTATTTGAAGTTAACACGTGTGCCCTCTTTCTGTTTTCAAGCACCAGCGAAGCTTGTGTGAAGATGCTCTCCTGAGAGTCAAAGGAGTGATAAGCTTTACTTTTCAAATGGCCTCTAAAAGATGTACTGTCCGCATCCGCTCAGACCTCCCCACTGAGGTGACGCTTTTATCAGTTATTCCGGCTAACTTGGATTCATGAGAAAAAACAAATTGGCTTTAATGAAATAGTTTGTCTCATTTAACCAACGTGCACAAACCTGTTTTACAGAGTCTGGGCACAGCCATCGCTGCCACTAAGGTGCTGTCAGCTCAGCAGGTGGTGAAAAATGAGGCAGGAGAAGAGGTGAATTACCCTTTTATTTTTAAGACTCTACTGGTTTAAAAAATGAAGGTGTAAGCACAAGTTCACACTCAGCATTTTGTTCGTTTTACTTTTTTTTTTCTGCTCAGGTTTATGTTCCTCTGAGCTCGTCTGGAGTGCCGGTTCAGCAGAACTCGGCCCTTCCAGATTACCTCCCGGAGGATGAGGAGAGCCCACAGAGGGAGGTCGACCGAGCCATCTCCCGCACTGCAGCCAAGGAGGATAGCAACGGGAGCTGGCTCAACGCCGCGGCCAGTTTCCTCACGAAAACTTTCTACTGGTGAAGCTGGGGAGGGGCACAGACCGTGGAGTGGTTCTGTAGCGGACATTACGAGCAGGGGGAGACCACACGAGCTCGGTCGTGTCTTGAGTAATTACAAATATGTGAATAGACTACATTTTTTTTCCTCTCTACCTCTTATTTTTCTTTCTACTTTTGATTTTAAATGTTTCTTTAAATATTTTTCAGTCTTTCCAAACTGCTTGTTTTCTCTACATATTCAAATTTGATGATCTCAGTACTTTTTAGTATTCATGTCTTCTGTTCTGTTTATTAGCTGTGTAGCTCTCTGCTAAAATAAATGTACAGTGAAAAAAAAAAACATCATTCCAGGATGATTTTTGTAAACATCAATTCATTTGATGCCAAATATAACCGTACAGAAATTTCATAATAAGTTTGAACAACTCGTCCCATCCCCTGCCCTCTGAAGTAAAAGGTTTGTAAGATTAGCAGTCTTAATTACAGAAAACCACTTTGCGTAAAGTATGAAGCCATTTAAGGTAACCTGCAGCACACAACATGGTCTGTTCTCCTTTGAGGAGCAAAACTAAAAACATTTGTCTTAAACTTTCTTTTGAATCGTGAAGTTATGTGGTGGGAAAGCTAAAGCTCCTGTTATGAACGTTTCGTGCAGTAAGGCGTCTGAGCATCAAGTTAGCAGCATTTTTTTTTAATCAAATAAGTTATTCAATCCAAACTTGTCCAAAACAACGATCAACCTTTAACCAAAAGTAGTTTTCCCAGCATGCCCAGCAACTGAGTGACAGGATGTCAGCTTTGACAAGTGTAAAGCGTAAACAAAGGGCCTTAAATTTAAAGCAGATTATTTTTCTTAATTAGAACAAACAAGATGTAGGCAACAAAAATTAATGTTTTCTGTACAGCAATTAATAAAAACTAAAGAAAATCAGACATTTACACCCTATTTCTCTGTTGCATGAGGAAAAAAAAAAGTTTTTCTTTTCATCATTATTAAACCCAAAGTTCATCAACTCATTATCTTCTAGTTTTCAACACTAGATGCAGCAGAATTTTATATTACAAGACTTTCAAGTAGTTTCAAACATTGTGCAGTCACCCCATCTCTGAAATATTGAAACAAAAGAACTACCAGGTTACAATAAAGGAGAACAAATGCATAAATTAAACTATTTCTGGTCTTCGTCTAGGTGTTCCAGTTATACAGATGCTGGAGATCTGATTAAAGTATGTCTGCAGCAACAAAAACTCTTCAAGCGTTTTGGCTGGAGACTTAATATTGATTTTAGTTAATATTATTTCAGGATTTTTCTTCATAATCTCACATGAAGTGGGAGAACAGGGGTTTAACGTCATCCTGGGTAATCAACAGGATTATGGTGGTCCAGGAACGACCACCGTGACCAGTTGGAGACGGAGATGAGATTGTTCCTAAATCTGTCGAGGCACCGATTTTAGGAACGTGCAGCGGGAGGGAAAGAAGAAAGATCTGGTGCTGAGAGTCCTTTCATTGGTTCAGTCCAGCAGCTCCATGTTTCTCTGCCTCCCTCTGGCCTCCTCTTCAGTCTGTAGGCGTGGAATCATCGTGTCACCGATACGATGTCAGGCCACGTCTGGATACCAAAAAAAAAAAAGAATAGAATCAGAATCAGAATAATACGTGTCATAAAAAACGAAAATAAAGGTTATAACCTGGTCCCTGCTGGGCTGAGATACTCTCTGTTCCACTCAGCGGCTTTAAAAGACCGTTCTCCATGAAGGCTACAACAGGAACTCTACCCTCCTCCTCCTCCTCTGCTGCCTGCTGCTCCTCTCCTTCAGGAGGAGACAGCCTGGAGTGTGGAGGCAGTTTGATCACCTCTTCAAACTCCCCATTCTCCCTACGAAAACAGGATGGAAATTAACCAGAGTTTGAAAACACTGGTGACAGAGTGGTGGGATTGGCACCTCTGGTCAGGACGGTGCGGTGCTGAGCTGCAGGAGCTGGGGTCAGGATCCGGCTGCCGACTGCTGCCGTTACTGTGATGTGATGCAGCTGCTGCAGGAGAGGCAGGGGTCGCTGTTGGGGGGGATAAAATGTTATGTATATATCAAAAAGAAAAGCATCAAACAAAAAGAAGATGAATTTAAAGGACCTGTATCGTCTCCATTCTTGACTTTCGGCAGCTGAAATAAAAAGTAAACATTAATATATTTATTTATTTATCTTTTATTTTTATCTCCCATGCGTTTTCACCCTGGTTGTCACCTTTTCTGAAATGTCAGAGCGTCTTGTTCGCTTCATTATCTCCTCAAGACGCTGATGCAGGTGATAAAGGAATAAAAAAAATAAAAGAATTAAAACAGAACTTTAAATGAACCCATATTAATCCTAAACTTCACCTTTAAGCACATTACCTTCTTTCTCTCCAGCCGTTCAGCCTCTTCTTTCTGAAAGTGCTTCTCTCGTTCCTGCTTCAGTCGCTCTGCCTCCTCTCTCATTCGAGACTCCTCCTCCTCTTTCTGAGACAAACAAGTGTTTTTTGTAAAAACAGCACTGATATCTCAGCAAAAAAGCTGTTAAATCCTTTCAGATGTGACTTTTCTGACCTGTTTTTGGAGTCTTTCAGCCTCCTCCTTCTCCTTTCGAAGCCTCTCTTCCTCAGCCGCTTTCTCCTCCTCCTCCTTCCTTCTCCTCTCTTCTGCTTGGCGCTGAGCCTCCTCTTCTCTCCTCGCTCTCTCCTCAGCTTTACGGCGAGCCATCTCCTCTTTTGCTAATCTGCAGGGGTTAACGAGTTTCAGTCAAAGTGTGAACGGTTAATGAAAGCTGAAAACAATGTTTGTTTGGGCGTACCTCGCCTGCTCCTCTTTCTGCCTTCGCTCCTCCTCCTCTCTCTCCCTCTGCTCCCGGGCCAGACGTCGCTTCTCAGCCAGGATACGACTTGCCTCCTCTGGATCTGTGGTGCCCGCTGACGGTTTGGAAGCTGGAGAACTGCTTGAACTCTCTATGAAAAGGAATAATAATAATAAAGAGTTCACTAAAAATAGAAAGCATCCAGGATGTAGGAGGTGTTTTGTATTATTAAGAGACCGTTGGCTCCTGAGGCTGCTGCTGGTATCTGCTCATTCGAGATCTTGTTTTGACCCAACGGCTGAGGTCGAGGCTGAGTACTGAAAGATGGCTCCTCCTCCTCTTCAGCTCTGGTGGGGGTTGTGGGATGGGAATTCTCAGGTGTGACCCTGACGGGACGAAGGTTTCCAGCATCTTCGGCTCCTGGAGACTTGAGCAGCTTGGGAGTCGGTGGACGTCCTGCTGTCTTCAGTGAAAGTCTGTGAAAAAGTTTTAAAAAAAGGAGAAAATCTTTAACTATAAAATATTCTTAAAAAGCATTAACATGAGTAATAAAAGATTAGTGCCACAGCTAGGAAAACACCTGGTGGAACTGCAAGTCTGCTGAGCTTGTAATACAGTATTAACTACTTCTCCCTTCAGTTATTTTCAGGTGAAATAATGCCTTCATCGAGGAACAGTGTTTTTTGGATGCCGAGGAGACTACCCTCTTTCTATGCTTTCTAAGGATGACACAGTTCGACAGAAATGGTTGGACTTTTCTCTTACAAAACATAGTAAACATGAAGCACTGGTGTGAAGATGTGCTGAAGTGGGAGTGTCCAAAACAGTAGAAAGTTCAAAAAGACTGAGGCCAATTTCAAGTCGTTTAGATCAGTGGTTCCTTTTTATCTTCTGACTCACAAAATATTCATGGCAAAAACTTGTGACCCCAAATATTACTGGTCTGAGTACACAAACTTTGTTAATAACCCTAAAAACAAAGGCTACACAAATATAAATGCTTTTTTATACTTATTTTGTGTTTTTGTAATAATTATAGGGAAAATATTACATCACCAATTATTTTATTACACTTTAAATTGATTTCTGAAGTGCAGTGGTTCCCAAACCTTTCAGCTTTTGACCCACAAAATAACAGTAGCAGAGACCTGTGCCCACAACTATTTTTGGATGATAAACATTTGTATCAGCTCAACTAAACATGGGCATAGTAACAATATTTATTATTCTACATGTGTAAATGTTAGGCAACTAAGGTAAAAATGTAATTAATTTAGAAAATCTTTTCAGGACCCCACTTTGGGTACCGACCCCAACTTTGGGAACCACTGGTTTAGATAAGCTATAATGCAACAGTGTTTTCATAACAACCGAAGGTAACAGGGACAGTATATACCCCTACCTGCCAGGAGAGGGTGCTGTTGTTTTGCTGCTCTTTTTGGCCGGAGGAGTGATGTGTTTGTTGACGGGTAATGTCAGAACAGGATTTAGTGGAAGGGACAAGTTGCTCCAGGACTTCCTGGCATGCTCACGCTCTTTCTGCTTCTAGTGAACAAAATATACAGTGTACTCATCAAAGTCATGTACTTCGTGGTAAAATTAAGGTTATAAATGAAAGAATTCTCTACTTAAACCCATGTGCCAGGTGACACACTGAGCAGATGTTTGATTATCATTAACAGGATTGGACTCAAACTGAAATCCTCACTCAGCGTATGACCTCTGGCACCGAGTCAGCAAACAAACAAATAGATAAAGCCCTCAAAATAAAAACTAAAAAATAATAATAATAATAATAACTCCCCATTTACCACGTTCAACATTAAAATTGTAAACAGAATATTGTGTAAAATATATCTGTAACAACAGATCTCAGGTCAGTTCTTTTTGACTAAAATACACAAGAAATGCTAAATCTGCTGAATTTGTTTTTAAATAAAATATTACCCCATAAAAAGTCAAATCTCAACTTTTAGCATTACTGCTACAATAAATATAAAATGCAACGTCAGCATACCTTCTCAAGAACCATCAACTTTTTAGTTAATGTTCACACAGGGAAACATTTTACTACTTTAGTGGTTTCAGCAGATTTTTGCTATCATCTTAGCTAAAGTGTTACAAGAAAATGCTCAAAAAGAAGGAATTTATTCTGGCAACACGTCGGATAAAATGTCAACAACATGATTATTAAAACAAACAAGAAGGTAAAACCAGCTAGTAACACTCAGGCTAGCAGCCGACTTTGATGTTGTGCCTTATTTCGGTGCAATAAATTGATAATCTAATCACTGTGACATTTACAGAAACTTATATAAAACAGAAAGGAAGTTAGATGGAGCAACTCTGACCAGATTATTGAACACCAATGCCCAAAAATAAAGAAATTAGTTACCCATGCAATTTTATTATTTTATAAAAGCATTTCATATTTCTATCTACTACCTGTGTTGTTCCAGTGGTCCTCCTCCGTGGGGTGATGATTTCAGAGGACGGCGCCTCCCTGCTGAGACTCCTCTCCTGGCCGCGACAGAGAGGAAGAGGCTGGGCCTGCAGGGCCTTAAAGGACATTGCGCCCGTGGGGTGGCAGGAAACTGAGCGAGGACACACAGGCATGGCTACAGTGATGTACGAGGTGGAGGCGGGGAGGGTTCAGAGCATTTAGAAGGTGGTATGGATCGCAGCGGTGAGAGAATTCAGAGGACGAGAGCAAGGATTTGATAAAAAAGCACAGTGAAAAGATCAGGTGGAAATTAAACGAGGATGTTAGATGAGTTTTAAGGAAAAAGGGTTCAGTGAAGGATTTAAAGGGAGTGAAATGGTGATGTTTGAAAGGAACAGAGCAGAAGAGAAAGAAAGAAAGTGTTAGTGCTACTGATTGGTGGAAGGACTGCAAATAGACAGAAACCATCACCTGGGCACCTTCATCAACCAAGAACTATTAAAGAGAAGGAATTAGTGAGGAAAAAAAACTGATCAGGTTAGAGAATAAACAAACATTATAATGAGCTATATCAGGGATGGGCAACTGGTGGCCCGCGGGCCACGTCTGTCCAGTCGATTTGATTTTTGTTTTTGGGAGGAATATCTGTTCACAGAATTTCAAAGCAAACCTATGTGTTTAGTCTGCTTAGAGACACTGTCTGAAATGGAGTTGCACAAAGCTAAATATCATTAGCATAATTAAATGTTGTTAGCATATCGTTAGCATAATTGCCTAAATCACATTTGGCCAAAAATGACTTAGGCAATTATGCTATTAGGCTATTGATATGAGAAGTTTACTGAAGTACATTTGGGTATGTGTGCAGCGCTATGTAGCCCTCTGGTAAAGTCAATCATCATTTAAGTTGCCCATCCCTGAGCTATAATAAAGCAAATATAAAGTAAAAAACAAAAAAACATGAACTAGATACTACAATATTACTTAAGCAGGACAAACTACTTATTATCACATATGAGGCACAACAGAAAAAGGAGGTGGTGGGCATGCAGATCTGTACAGAAACACAAGCAAGCAAAGCATCTTCATAAACAGTGGACAACTCTGAAAGTGTGAAGCAAACTGATGAGGGAACGGACTGATGCAGTCAACTTTAGCTCAGTGGGTTAAAAAGTGATGCAAAAATATCAGAAATGCCAGTTTATTTTCTTTTTTTATTCATGTGAAAACATTAACTAAGTCAGACACAGACTGGTAAATGAAGTTTCAGACGGTTTGATGCTTTAAATCTGGTTTAATCTTATTAACAGCTGAAACTGCTCTGGTCAAGACGCTGATAAACACTTTTAGCACAAGTCGTGATGAAATGAGTGAAATAATTGACTCCGTTAACTGGAAGCAGCCCCTCCTGAGCAGTGATATACCTGTTTGCTCTCCAGACAAGCTCATGGCGCTGCGGCTGCGGGCCAAGTAGGAGTGTGTCGGCTGCTGCAAACGGTTCACCATGTTGCTCTCCCACGGTGTCAGCGGCAGGTGGCGCAGACCTGAGCACAAGGTCACAGCTGAGTTTGGACAACAGCGACGGTTTTAAACAACCCCAACCAGATCAGGTAAGTTGTTCGTAACCGCTCAAAGCCTTCACCTTCCCTTCGCACAGCCGTGAAACGTTGAACCATGCTCACCACACCCACATGCACCACACTGGGTATTACATGAAGCAAACACGGTGAAACCAAGTGCAAACAAAATGGAGAAAGGAGAGCAATAAATGAGGATGGTCACACTGCACGAGTCTCTTTAATATCTCATCAGCATGTAGAACGTCTTCATGATGATGACTGAATAATTCATTAGTCTTTATTCAAGAAAATTGAACTTCTGGCCATAATTTCCTGTTTTATATTGAAATGTTTTTGAATAATCATCATGATAACCCAACTATCACCTTGGGACAAACATCATGCAACTTGGCAGTGCTGTTAGTTTTCAGGATGCAGGGAAAAGATACAAAAGGGCTGAAAACTGTTCAAATAAATGAGTCATCAGTAATCTTTCTTTGTCATCCTTAAGTCTTTGTGTCAGTAATGGTGTGCAGCTTTTGTTTTAGCAATCAATTTATAAAAAATACAAAAAAGTTGAATTTTTAACATTTCCTGCTCCAAATAATGAGAAATAAGGTTAAATGTATAGAAGGTGGTCACTTTTCCAGTCAGGATTTAAACCATGTTTCCACAAAAACAACAAGATTATCCTCCAGGGGATTATTAGAGAAAGGGGTTACAATGGAGGAGAAACAAAAAACAAACCTGCTGGTGAAACACAGTGATGTGCATATCGCATGTGCACATGCACATGTTTACACTTGTGTGTGTTTCACCAGCAGGTGAAACACACACAAGTGTAAACAAGTGCACGTGCACATCATATCATAAATACTATAAATATAATCTGTGTCATTCTGCAAATAGAGAATTGCAAATAATGGTTTTCAGACTCATTGACAGTTTCCAGCCCACGAGCTTTGTTTGTCAACATGTCCAGCACACAATGAGAGACCAAGGAAAACCTGTGGTTTTTTGCTGCGTGGTCCTCCCCTGATGTAAACGAGGTTTGGACAGAGCTTTGTTTATGACAGGAGTGGAGACTGTTCTCAGCTGTAAGCCTGTTAGCAACATACAAACAATTAATGAATATATGACCTAATAATCAGCATTAAGCATTAGCATGGGAACAACATTAAAACAATATTTTACAATTTTTTTAAATGTGCTAATTTGCTTTGTTACCAAGAAATTGGAATCATTTTCACTCTTACATTTGCTCAACAAATAGGACAAAAACAAACATTTTAATTACTCAGTCAGGTGAAAAGAATAAGTCTCAAAATATTGCATTTTAGGACAGAAATATTGTTCTCAAACACTTTTGGGTGTAAAAGGGATGAACGTATGAATCAGATCAGAATGGTATGATCACGGGATTGATATAAACATTTATCAAACTAAAATTCTTCATTTTTCTAAAATGTTTTGTGGATTATTGCACTTCTTTATTAAACTTATTTTTTCCCTTCTTCTCTTGTTATATTTTGGAAATATATCTAGTTCCAAAATAGATATTTTGGAAAGGAAAAGAATATTGTGACTAGGTTCTTATATTAAAATGATAGTGATGTAAATATTTACTGTTAATAGTAATAATAGCAATATTAATAATAATAATAATAAATCATGTTGACAAAATAGCATTTGCATGATCCGTGACAATTTTTTTTGAGACTGAAGATGTTTTAAAGTGCCTGTGACGTGACTATCCTTGAAATACAAAAAGTTTAAAAAGGATCTTTGTATTTAGGAAACTTTGCAAATAATTTTACCCGTTTTGTCACATAACTGTCCTTATTTTTAACATGGCTCAGCAAAAGTGAAACAGGAAGTGACATCAAAGGGGAACTCTTTGGTCTTTGTTTATTCAAACAATATTATTTGAAGTCTGACTCCTCGTTTCTCTGACTGTGACTCAAAATATTCTAAACATCAGATTCTTCTCTACAGTCTGTGCTGACAGCCATTGCAGCGATGCTCTGTTCACATGCAGACATTCCCCTTTGACATCACTTCCTCTTAGTTCATGTAACTATCTCAACTGCTCATCACTGCAGCATGAATTTTATTTTATTTTCAATATTTTAATCAACATTATTTTTAAAGAAATGTGTTCATATTTTCTGCAAATATTTGATGTCACAGGCACTTAAAGGTGGAACCACTTTGCTTTAGTCGTGACTTGGACTCATACATCTGGTCACAAATTGAACCTTGTTTCTCCAGACTGAGGATGTTTAAAGAACTATCCACAACAAATAATATATTAAAGAGTCATAACCTTTCCACGAAACCACACAATTAAAACTGATGCATCATGAGTGGATCGTGTTATCGTCGTGTTTATTACCTCGGTCAGGTGAGTGCAGGAGTGTCGCAGAGGAGGAGGAGAGGCGCTTGGTAATGATGGGGTCTGGATGTTTGGTTAAATTCATGGTGGACACTGACCTTCTATTGGCATCTAGGTTCAACGACACAAAAATAAATCAACTATTTTCAACAGGAAGATAAAAAAAAGACATTTAATAGAAGAAAGAGCTGCGGCCAGTAATCTAAAAAGGTTTCTCTACTTTGGTTAATTCAGGTTAGACGAACGGGAAACTACGAGCTCTGCTAACAAAATAACCCAAAATGTTTGGTGATGAATTAGTGGGTCTTTTGTCATTTCAAAATGAAATGGTTTGTCTTTGCCTCGGGACACGACTTTTACTTGAACTGCTAGATGTAGATCCAAACTACCACCCATGCCACTCGTGGTCTAAATTTACATGAACACACTAAAAGGTACAATGTTACTTGCTAGCGTTCTAACGCTAGCCAGCTAACTGACACGGCGCTATGATATTCACATTGGGAGGTCATTCCGTGTTTGTGGTAGAGACTGAAAGCACTCTGCATGTGCTCCAGTCCAGCAAGGTCGAGTGGATAGAGGAAAGCAGACTCAACAAAACCTGAACCAAGAGAACAAAGAAACAAAAAGAGAAGGAAGAACATGAGGGTGAATTTAAGAATAAGGAGAGAAAAGGAGGAAGAGGTGAAGAAAGGCATGGTTAAATAGTAACAACATAAAGCAGCAGTGAAGAAAAGATCCAAAATAAACATGGGAGGGACATTTTTGACACACAGAGGCAAGCAGACATATTTTAAAATAATCCCGAGCCAGATAGACATCAGGGAGATAACACACACAATGTGAGGAACTGTAGATGTGTTGGAGCATAATAAAAAGCTCTGGGAGAGTTGTGTGTGTTTGTGCAGGCACTGTTTTGTTACACAATGTGTTCAAAGTACCGGCTGCTGTGCTGGGAGTGTTTGTGTGCAGTGCTCCTCCCCAAGACCAGCGGTTCTGCTTTGGCTTGGTTTTCTGGCCCTTCCCCAGCGTGCGACGAATCACCGCCTCGTGACGCACCTTCAGACAAAACAACAACAAGAAAATCCTCGGTATCAGGAAGCAGCTACCTGCCTTACCAGCGGCTGCAGCATTTTCATTTTTGTTCTCCACATCAAAACTCTGATTTCTGTTTAGTCTGTATCAATAATAAGTGATCTGCACACAAAAGGTTGACAAAGGTCAAAAATGTCTTGAAGGAATACTCAAGATAATTTTTAAGCCATCCTATGAAATATTGCAACGTCAACAGCTTTTAATTACTCTCTGATTTACATTTTTTAAACGTATTCTCTAAAAGCACCAAAAGTACGAGGGGACTGTTGGGTTCAGTTGGTTAAACCTAAAACACTGTGTTGAATGGTTTGATACGGGTACATGTATTGTTGCACCCCATAAATAAATAAATAAATAAATATCTCCATCTTTGTTTTCCTGTTTAGTTTGCTGATGGCACAATGAATCCTGGGAATTTGTCGAACCTGCAGCCTGCTCAGATGCGGCGTACGTTTTGTGAACCCGTGAAATCGAACAGCCTACGGCGCGGTGCGGTGATGTAACCGGACTAAGAGCTGACCTATGTGGGCTGCAGTCCCTGAATTGAGACACTGCCCTTTGTTATGCAGAATCAGTTAAAACAAAGAAAATAAGAATAAAAGTACCCGGTCCTCCTCCAGTTTTTGCCGTCGTTTCTCCTCCACAGCGACCCGTCTTTGTTCCTCCTTTACCCGCTGCTCCTCCAGCCTTTTCCTCCTCTCCTCCAGGTGCTTCTCGTAGTGCTGCCTGGCTCGATCCTCACGAGCTTGCCATTGGGCCTCCTTGACAGCTGAAGCATGCACAGAAAATACACACATTGTTGGGATTTTGTAGTGCATTAGTAAATTTACACAAACTTATACCAATTCTATTAAGGGCCACGTGACTTAGCTGTAGCGCTCAACACAAAGCAAATCTCAGATCTCATTCAATGAAGCCAGACTGACTTCTAAAAAACATAAACAGGATCAACAAACCTACATAAGAAGCCTTTAGTAACAGAAATCTTTAAAACATAGCCAACACACTAGCCTTCCTTAAACCTGTCCCATTATGTAACATAAAATCCATGGGAACTGGGTGCCTGGATTTGACCTGGACTTTATATAACATCCAGGGAAACCAGCCGTTCACCACAGCTACCAAAATCATTTCAGCCACAATGTGTTGGGGGGGGGGGGGGGAAGCAAACAAGAAAGTGAGGGATTCATTTAAAGCTCCGTTACACACAGCGACTCCAAGTCGACCACAAGAGATGAAAGAATGCTCACCGTTCTGTTTCTCATGCTCCTCCCTGCGCTCACGGGCCAACCTCTGTCTCTCGTCAATCTTGTTGAAGAGCAACGAGTCTGCAGCACAAACAGTTCAACACCAACATCAGCAGCTCTACAAGCATGTTAAAAAAATTAACTCTACTAGCTGTGTCTTCATTTTTCTGTGAGATTTACCTGTTTTGGTAGCATAATTAGCGTAATTACTTGTGCTTTTGCTGGGGTTGGTGCAATTGGGTGTGGGGATAGGGGTCCCTGTGGGAGTGTAGGTCCGTCCGGAGCCCGAGGAGCTGGGACGGGTGATTGTAGAGGATCGACCATCCTCAGATTGATACCGAGAGAAGGACGCTGCAAAAAAATTAAAATAAAATAAAATTACATAACACTAAGAAAAGTGAAATGCAGAATAAGAAAAAGAGGGAAAACATAGCCCATTTGTCATATTGAACATATTTTTCCTGAGCATTTGCAATCTCATTGGATTCTAAATGTTTGCAACCAAATGACCAGCAAGTCGCGCAAACACATTATGACTGGTCAGTTTTTGTGTGCACAAATTGTAAAACTTGACCCTGTACATTTGTTTTATTACCCAAATCATACACCCACCTCAGCTCATTTTGTACACGCTTTAACAGTCACAGAGAAACACCCATGGAAAGAAAAAAATTAATTCTTGGGAAAATTAATAATTTAAAATTTAAGTAGAAAAAGCAGCTGTTTGAAAGGAAAAACACTTGCCGCCATAAAGTCTCAGCAGGATGTGAAACTGCTTTATAATACAAGAATAAAAGGTGTCAAGACGTCAAGAGAATTCATCACAAAAAGGCCAAAAAGAGGTTAAAGAACTTAGCAGCAGTGGCACAGAGCGTCTAATTATAAATATGTAGGATAAGTTGCCACTGCAGTGGAGCAGGCTCTTTTATCTCCATCTCTACCTGCAGGAATGTACATTTTTAAAGAAAGATAACTTTAACCTTGTGCTTCTTTGGTCATGTCTATTATCAACAATTCCCTACTAATCCAGGAAAAATTGCTTACATATTTATGGCTTATTCAAAAAAGCCTAAAAGCAAAAAATTACATCCAAAGGGAAGTTTTTGTCACTGCTGGGACTGAGCTACGCATCGCTCACACTGAAAATGTTATTCCATAAACAAGTAGCTGAAGATGACTTAAAATCTGAGCCATTAGCTGGAAATATTAGATTGCAGTTTATTAAGCCAACAAAATTTTAGTCCAATTTTGAGAAAATTGGATCAAAAATGATTTAATGCAGCTCTGTCTAAAGTTGAGGCTACCCTAAACTTGAAAAATTCTAAACCAAGTTATTTGGACACAGGATTAACTGAATTGCCATTTTATGCAAACAAGTGCAAACAGTACATCTCCTGTAAAGAATTTCTTTATTATTATTATTTTTTAGGTATTGGTTTCAACCATGCCCATTTACAACAGGCTCAATGTATACACACTGGAAGGGGGTGCACTTACTTGCTTCTAGCCTGTGTCCACAACATGAAAGTTCCTGTGGTGTCAATCAAGATGATTGGTATACTTTGAAAACACAGTTTAAAGATTGCGTATAAGAACAAAGACAAGTAAGATGTGAAAGATTAGACAGCTGCTGGCTCGTTTCAAATGATACATCAGTTTTTATTGTTTTATTTTATTTAATCAGGCAAAACCCATTAAGGTCACGGATCTCTTTTTCAAGGAAGGACTGGGCCTGACGGCGGCCTAGACATGCTTGTGTTTGAACTGTGGGGAGGAAACAGGAGCACTCAGATTAAACCTACACAAACACAGAGAGAACATACAAATTCCACACAGAAAGACTCTAGGCCCAACTCAGGGTTTGAACCCAGGACCGTCTTACTGTGAGGCAACAGTGCTGACCAACAGATATGCTGCAGATTCTCTATTCAAAATGACGAAGTGTGTTTAATCATGACTGGTAAACCTTGCTTTGCCTCTATTGTGTTAATGTAGACACTAAAGGATTCCAGTAAGTCTGGATGAGACATCATTGGTGTTTAAATGAGCAGGTTTTTATTCATGATATGAATTTCCAAATGCATGATTTGTAAAAATAAAAAGAGCTAAACAATGCAAGGCCTGGAGTATGTTTCTATAAAACCGTTTGATTTTGTTCTGCAGTGGAGCTTGTTAGTTAAACTGAGTAAAACACTGCACTAACTGTATCTTATATTATTACATGACCTCAGTGCAGTGTTTCCTCATCAGGCTGAGGCTATTGATTAATGGTCCCATCAAGCTTAGGGTGACTCAGCACTTTCAGGTCAGCCTTATGGATGCAAAGCTTTCCATAAGCTCTGATGAAGAGGTACAAAAAGAGAAAAGGGCAATGCCATTTAAAGGCAGGACTGATGGCTAAATTAGTCAAAGAGCTGATATGGCTGAGCCAAAGTTCAAGAATATCCACAACACAAAAACAGTAAAAGGTAAAATTATTTGAAGGATACATAGCACCTGTAATCTTACATGTCAAAAATTTAAACAATCTGTTATAGATTAAAGTAAATGTTAGGTGAATTTCAGCTTCTAACTCACCAAATTTTAGTTTTATAGCTATAAAAATGGATGAGTTGTAGCCATTTTTGTTTTGGTTAAAGTCATTTAGCTGTGGCAGCCATCTTGAATAAGTTTGACTCTTGAACAAGCATTGTTTACTTTCTGAGAATTTCAATAAAATCTGTTTATTAGTAGGGGTGTAAATCACTAGCTTTATCACAATACAATATCATATCTATTTGTTTGGATGATGGATACAATGTTTCTAAATATCACAAAATATGTGATATATCTTGATGTCCGGGGCTGGGTGCTTGGGCATGCGCCGGCTCGGCCTAGTGGGCCTTGGGTGCCTGGCCCTGTTGGACCTTGGCCTGGGGTGTGTGTGTGTGTGTGTGTGTGTGTGTGTGTGTGTGTGTGTGTGCGCGCACCCTGGGGGCTTGGGCTTCTGTGTCCATGCCTGGTTCTGCTCTGGCACGGTGGGTGCCGGCGGGGCCTATGAGCTCGTCGCTGCTGGCCCCAGGGGTTTACTGTGTGTGGTTGCTGGTGGGGCTCTCCCTGTTTTCTCCTATGGTCCCCTTTGGGGGGTGGGTGGGCGGCCCTCCCGGCGCAGGTGCCTCTGGGGGCTCCGCGCTTGGGGTCCCTTTCAGGGTCTTTGGCACTGGTCTCCCTTATGTCGGCTTTGAACTTTACGGGTGTGTTGTCTTGTGTTTTCTAGATATACTGTATATTCCACATATCTTCTAACCTCTTTTTTCACTCTTTCCCATCACATTTCACTTTTTTTTTCTTCTCTTTACATTTCTTCTTTAAAAAGAATCACTGATGATGAAGAAACTAAGAAACTAATACTCAGTTCTGCTTTCTACTGAAGTGGCTAAAATATCAATTCACAAGTTTACAATCAATACGATATTGATCCAAATTGGGCAAATGATGATGATATGGATCAATGTTTTAGTTTTGCTTTGATGTAGTTGAATCATATATCAAACTACCTGGGTGTCATTTCTTTACTTCTTTGATGTGTTTGTTTAGTAATTTATTACCGGAAGGTGAAAGAGGAGCGAAGTACAGTATTCATATATTATGCTAACAAGTATCCCTAGTGCTTTGATGAAGTTTCTTTTCCAAATTGCAGATTTGTCCTTCTTTCTCTTATAATTCCAAGTTTCTGACATGTTTCACCCAAACTGGCCTTGCCATCTCCACCCAGAACACATTCCCTTGTCTAAAAGCTGGAAAAAAACATGAGGTCATAGCTGATGAGGTATTAGATGTCACGGTCTATGGGATGTCTGTAGAGGTGTGTACACAACCATCTACAAGTTTGCACAGCCTCAGGTGGACGTGCTAATAATGGGTATTGTTATAAAAAGAAAAGCAGGACTGGGACTGTGTACTCGTTCTCCGAATTCATTTTCCTCAAATAAAAGATCTGTTTATTGTGGCTAGAATTGCTTCCTACAGCTAAATATTAAACTTGACATTTGATCATAAGCTTCTGCTTTAAGGGGAATTTTTTTAAGATTTTGTGCTTTAAAGAATAGATTTATTGTGTCTGAAGTTATAATATACTCAGGCAAACCTGGCAATTGGTTTTATGTCACATTCAGACATTCAAGAAATTCTCCTTTTTCATATCATTTTTTCCACTTACTGACTGGTCTCTAAATCCACCCTCATGTTGTTAACTACAGTCATGCTGCTAAATGATGAATCAAGCTTTAAATGCACAACAGTTTGGTTGTCTGAACAACATGCAATGTTATAACAACAACAACAATAATAATCTCAAAGTACTACAGAACAGCATAACACACATATAATAAAACCACACTAATAAAAACAACAGCCAGAGTTAGGAAAAAGCTTGTTAAAAATATCTAAACTAAGAGTTCACCTAAGAGAAGGTGAAAGACTTGATTTGGGGGATAATATCCCAGCTAAATTAACAATAAAAGCCTGTGTAGACATTATTTTTTGCTAAACTTTTAAACAGGTCTGGGTCATTCCAATTATTATTATCATCAATCTAACAAAACTCATTTAAAAAATCCATTTTAGCACTTTAAATGACGAATAAATCCAAAGTTAACATGATGGCAGTTCAAATTTAAATCCAACACGGTGCTGAAACAAAGTTGTCCTGATGCTCATGCACAGTTAGGTGACCTGACTCTTGGGTGGTTTGGGTGCGTTATATGAAAACAAAGACACAGTTTAGTCTTGAGGTTTGAATAAAAGGTTCACTTAAAATTTCACTTCTTTGTCTTACACTTCCCAACACCTACATCAAACCAAGTACCTTCCTGCCGAACCTCTACAGGGTAAAAGTAAAAGTTTCTACCTGGATTGTGGTTCATTGTTTCAAGGGTGTTAATCCCAGGCTGGGATCTGTGATGCTGTCGGTTGTCTCCACTTTGGCTAATTCAACCAGAAGGACAGAATCATCATCCTGACTTCCTGAAAACATCCTTCACTGTCAAACAAAATAAAATCTAAAGTCCTGGGATCCAGGTAACAGAAAAAGAAACAGAATTCCACCTGACACTTCAGTTTCTGAAGTAAAAAGGAAGAAACAAGAGGTCAGTTGGTGTCACGGCTGATGATGAAATGTGTGAAACGGATCGTGGCGACCCTTCAGCCCCCATCCTTTTGTTCATGCATGTTTGTATCAGTGTGTATTTAACATGAATGTGTGTGATGGAGAGTGGGATACAGAGAGAGTGTGGCCATTTAATCTGCCCCTCCCATCTTCTGTGTTGTGTATATGTGTGTGTGTATACACGCACACCCTCCCCACCCCCCACCTATCTGCATTCGTTGCCCGTCAGATTAAATGGTCAGAGTTGGCGATTAATGCTCTGCTGTCCAGGCCAGTGGGTAACATTGAGCACCGTGTGCAGCTCCTTCCTTCCCTGCAGCCTGAGAGGATTAGCTGCAGCTAATGCTAAGCCAAACTGTAACCTCCAACCACCAGAGAGGAAAAGGGGGCAGGGATGTGAGGCTCTCTTTATAGGTCTGCACAACAGGCATTCAGGCCTGGATGAAAAGGCGCAGGAGTTGTAGCCCAAGCTGCTTTCATTGTACAGCATCAGACAGGGTTCAGCTACACTGTTTGAAGATCTGCCTGATTTCACCACAAAAGGCTGTGCCCAACAGAAACTGAAAATGTGCCATTACACTTTGCTCCTTTATTTACAAACTTTATTTAGAGGGTGTCCATGAGAAGCACTTTAGTCAGGTTTATTCATACAATAAACAAAACTGTTCCTTACAAATGTGGCACCATTTAAAAGGGAAATTAACACTTTCCAACTATTTAAGATTGCCACAGCAAAGAAATAATCTAACAAACTCAAATGTACTTATTTTTGTGCTGAGTATATGTAGATTAAGCCATTTTTCACCAAAACACACCCAACAAACATGACAGAAATAAATCGCTCCCTACCAACACAACAATCCCTCCAACTTTACTCATCTATTATTAAAGGCTTAAGTGAGCTGTTCCATGAATGTTTGCTCCATGAGGAAATGGCATCTAATTTAGACAGATGGAGTCAGGTTACCCTTGTATGACTTTGGGTTGAATAAATATTTCAGGGATAAAAAAAAAGATAATTAAAGAAGAAAACATAAATGAAGAGGGCAACGATGCATGAAAGACCAAAACAAAACAAAACGTTTACCTGCTCCTTCACAATAAAACTCCACAAACACTGCTTATTGTCATACAATATAGAGGATTATTCAGAGCTGTGTTCCAGATGGATAAATACAATAAAGATAAATTCACCCTTTACTGCCAGATTATGTAATAAAATAGCATTAAGTGTTACAAGCATAATATTTATACTCCGTTTAGAATACTACACCACCCCTTTAATGATTTACACTGCAGGAATCTCTTCCCTGAGGGCACTATCAAGAACATTTAAAGTTTTGTTGATTCCCAGTTTCCACATTGGTACCTGCTGTGACTTGCTGTCCTGTTGACAGACTGCTTTGCTTACTAATGCATTAAAACTTCATCCACGTGAAGCAGACTGTGCCGTCGCTCTCACCCGCTGCCCTCGTCTCCTAATCTTGCATCGTCAGCTGACTTTTTTTTCTTGCACAGACAAAAACTGTCCATCATCACCAGTCCTGTTCATCAACTCTCTGTAAATAGTTAAATGCGAAAGAACAAACAGAGATCATCTTACACTCCTTTACAAAAATAAAGCCGTCAAATATGTTTACTTTCTTAGTCTGAACATTTTTTTTTGTACATTTAGCATCACAACCAGAATAAAAATACCCACAAAACTGTCTTGCTTTTCATGCTCTGACCTATTTTCAGACCTTCTGCAGCTGGGACTCTCAAGACAAATGAGTCATTTCTTCTGTTTAAATAAATCTTTTTGTCCTTGATAATGCTCCTGTTTGCTTATGGAAGTAGACAAAATTAAAGAGCTTAAAAACTTTAAGACTTCTGTAAGATTTCCCTCTTCTTCCCCCCTTACCTTGTTTCTTCTTGTAAACATTCCTCTGTTTCTGTCCCTCCTCTTCCTCATTAATGGTAAAAAGTGGTTGGATAGTAGGACGGATGCTCGTCTTTCTCAGCTTCCACTTGTTTCGGGAACATCCACCTCCACTTCCTCCTTTTTGTCCTTGGCTATCTGGCATTGCCTGCCCTGTTGCTAGCCCCTGGCTAACTCACCCAACCCCTGCCCATCCCACCCTGCTGCAGAGTAGAACAGGATGGAGGCTGGTGCAGGTCGGTCCTGGGTACCAGATGATTCTGGAAGTGCAGGTCACCCCTAAAGACTGCTTTCAAGAAAGAGTAAGTAGCTAAAAGCTACATAGTAACAGTTTCTTTGATCTGGCTGCACATAAAAAAAGGTATTTGGGTAGAAAAAAGTGGACTAAAGAGAAGATAAAAAAGATGAGTAAAGAAAAGCACAATGCGTGCTGAGGGAAGAGTGTGAAAGGGACAAACAGAGCAGCTCACTGTCCTCCGTCTGTCCTGCCTGCGATGGCAGTGCCTGGCATGGAAACAGAATACGACGATGAGGATGAGCTCTTGGCTTAGAAAGGAAGACTTAATCCGTACGAGTGGCTCCGTCGAGGTCTGCAAGTATCCCACTTCTTCTTACTACGGCAGTCTTGAAAAGATGCTGCCTCTGCTGTTTGCACATCTACCGCTATCTCTCTTACCCCCTCCTCAGTTCTCCCCGTCTAACATCTTTTCTGTGAATTTGAACTTGTCAGGAGAGCCGCATCACACAGGCGGCGACTTTCCAGCACTCACAGGAGCAGGACACGGCAGCAGAGCCGATGAAATATTCAGTGCGAATTCAGTAGTGGAAGGGGAGCCGGTACAGAGTGATGGGTTTCACTGACACCAGCCGCGCGTGGACCAGAGACTCTGTGGAGGTGTGAGAGCTGAGGACAGGCAGTCTTTTAAAAACAGGCACAAATACAGCCAGGAATTCACTCACTAAAGCAAATGATGCAGCATCGATGATGTCCTGATGGTAGAAGTGTGTCAGGACATCGTCTCTGGCTCCGCCCACAACTACAACTTAAAGAGATACTTCAGACCTTTTGAAGTGGGGTGTTGGAAAAGTTAGCAATAATTATTGTTATCCTATTTGTTGCAGATAGTTTTTAAGCCATCTCAGTTTGGAGAAATAAAGAGTTTATTTATGACTGGACTGATGAGCTACCAGGTAGACCAGTAAGGGCCAAGACCTAACTGCTACAACCTTATAACAATCTCAAATATAATGATAATGCAAATGCTACTTTATAAACCTTTACATTAAATCATCTTCACATTATATGATTAGTTCATTTTTTTCCTGCCACTGCAAATAGCTTCTGGTGCACTCCCAGCAGGGAAATTATTATATTTCAGTCAAAATAACTATGTAAAGCAAAACCGATTTAAAAGTTTATAAAATAGAGAGTTTACAAAACATGTTATTAAACTTATGAGACAGGAAAAGTTTTACGACATCGGCTGTTAATGTTGGTCCTAGCTGCTGTCTTGTCAGTCTGATCAATTCAACTCAATTTCTCCAGAGGTTGACTAAAGAGTTATCTACAACAGGTAGGATACTGTTATTAAACGCCTCTCTGCATGGAGTTTTGCATGTACCGTATTTTTTGGACTATAAGCCGCACCCGCCATTTTTTAAAAAAACGTGTGAACATCAACGTACAAGCCGCACCGGACTATAAGCCCCACCCCCCACCCCCCATCAGTAAGCGGTCCTCTTCAGTTTCGGAGTTAAACGAGCTGCGTCACACAGCGGTATCTGTTCAGTGTTGCTTTCTTTCTTTTTTGTCACTTCAGTAGAAAATGAAACCAAATATTAGTTTATTTATTTCTTCATCATCAGTGACAAAATAATAATAATAATAATAATAAAAACTCTTGCATGCAAGCGTGCTTTTTCCCGTTTCCTCACAGTTCAAAAACATGCATGTTGGAGTAACTGGTTAAGTGAGTGTGAATGTTTGTGTTGGTTGTCTCTACATGTCCATGTGATGGACTGGAGACCTGTCCAGGGCGTACCCCTCCTTTAGCCCAGAGCTGTCTGAAGATGGGCACCGGCTTCCCATGACTCTGATGGAACAAACGGGTGAAGAAGATGAACTGAAAAACTCTTTCCATTCAAGCTCTGTTCACAAGTGAAGAGAAGTAGCATTATGTGCTCCACTAAAAAGGGTAACAAAGATGGTAAAGAGTAAACATGTTAAAACAATGAAGTAATTTTTACAGAGGCGAGGGTATTACAACTATAAGTTATTATAGATGATATATTACAGATTATATTACAGATGTTTAATCAGTAATAGGGGTGTAAGAAAATTGTTACACTGAAATATCGCAATATTTCTTTTTTTATTTTCTTTTTTTTAATAGAATCATTGGGAGAAAAAAAAGTCAATATCACCTTGCTTATAAAACTGTAATATACAGTATATCCTGACCCCTGTGTTGTAATCATATAGTCACATTCTTGCCAATACACAACCCTAATCAGACTGGAAACACTGACCTTCATATGCTAGAACAACAAACATTAATGCTCAGAGACTAAACAACCAGCATTTTATTTTAAAATCCAGTGTCACACAGATATCCAAGCATAATAATGATTAGAGACAATCACCTAAAGGCTTTATAGGCCCAGAACTGTTACAGATCCACTTCTTTTTACACACAACCTTATAGCTTCAGTTAATCTGGATAATGCAGTCCATAATACTATGTGCTCAAAAACAATTAATACCCCCAAATCCCACCATTTTCAGTGACAAATTACATGAAGGAATTCAGGACAAGATCTGCTGCTCCTTAGAGAATACACACTGTACAAACGCACACACAAGCAATCTGATCTTTGTCCCTACAGGGGACAGCAACGTTGTAAGACTACACTTGACTTTAACATGAGAAGATGGGCGACACACCCTTACTAGTGAATAGGTGTGAGAGGAAAAGACAGGATTATAAATTAATTCTTATCGTGTTAATAAACACGTATTTAGTCTGGGGCTTCATTTTCAATTAAAAAAGGTGATGGTTGTCTTTCAGGAGAACAAAAATGCTCATAGAAGGATTGATTTAGAACACAGCCAAGACAAAGCCAGTCAAATGTGTGCTACGGTACTAAGTTATTACAAATTCATTTACAAACTCTTGTTTTTAATGAAAATAATTCATTCAAATAAACAAATAAATCAATGGACGGCAGCACGCTATATTACCTGTAAGACAAAGTTGGATCCATAAATTAAAACTCAGGAAGTCACTTCAGTGTAAAACATAAATATAAACATGATGACACTGAGCCTGACGGACTACAGGGGAAGCAGTGCTTCTCTAACAGAGCACGAAACAAAAGCAATAGAAAAGGTTTTAGCTGATTTTGAAGGATAAATTGTTAAGTTATTTTAAAAAATGAACCTCTTCGTTCTTACTTCAGAGATATTCAACCTCTCTAAAAGGCCCTGTTGCACTTTAAAATGTTATACAACTTGTGAAAATTTGGTCCAACGCTGAAGATGTAATATACACTGCTCAAAAAAATAAAAGGGAACACTTAAACAACGCACGCTAAGTCCAAGTAAATCAAACTTTTGTGAAGCACATTCAACTCTGTGCAGAACAAAGTACTCAATGCAAATATTTCATTGATTAAGATCGGGAGTTAGCGTGCGTTGTTTAAGTGTTCCCTTTATTTTTTTGAGCAGTGTAAAAATAATAATATTAAAAGCCTCTTTTGGATGTATACATGCTAACGATGAGATCAAATATAATATAACCTATGAGTAATTTAGTCATAATTTTCACAAGTTGGCATAAAAGAGCCTTTAACTACTCTTCTTGCACAGAGTCCTCTTCCTCACCTGTTGTCAAACAACTTAATTAGTTGCTAAATGTTCTTTTATCACTCCCTCAGCTCTTTGTTGCCCCGGCCCAACTTTTTAAATACATTTTGCTGCAATAAACTTCAAAATTACCATTTTTTCCTTCTAAAACTATACCATTTTTTTTGCATGTGAATAAAATAGGAGTTGTTTACTATATAATGTACCAACTAGGGCTGCTATGATTAATCGATTAATTAACAACTAATCGATTATTAAAATAATCGATGACTAATTTAATAATCGATTAATTGTTTTCTTTTTTGTTCTTTACTTTGTTTTCCTCTCCAAACTGCTTTGACACCTTCCACTGCCACATCTGCCTTTCTGTCCTTGACACACATGCACAGTAGTGGTAACTGGGGTGGGCCGTGGACGTCACCAACCAACGTTGTTGAAACGCTGCAAACGCATCAAGCATGGAAGTTGCCATCTATACTTCCAAAAGATAAAGAATCAAAATGACCAAAGTACTTCAGTAAAACACCTCAGTCATCAGCTGCACGCCACAAACATGTTGGTCAATCTGTTCCCCTACAATTTCCTCTAAAACAGTTGTGCCCAAATTGGTCCTCAAGCGCCACTCTCCTGTATGTTTTTAGTTGTTTCCCTGCTCTTTAGCATGCCTTCATGTTCTGCAGAAGTCTTTTAATCCCTCGTTCATTCAAATCAGGTGTTAAAGCAGAGAAAACATCTCAAATTTTAGGTATTTCTTTGTAACACTGTTTAATTTTAAAAAAGGATTAAAAATACTTGGACAGGGGGAAACATTTAAAATCTGAGATGTTTCTCTGCTTCACCTGATGCGAATGAATGAATGATTAACAGGGATCAGCTAAAACAGTGTTTCCCAAAGTGGGGTCCCGAAACATCAAGGTGGGGTCCTGAAAAGATT